CTCGGTCTCTTTTCCATTCGACAGGAATTCCTTTCGGGCCCGTTTCTTCGTCGCACCCTCGTGGACGGTCCCACCGAGGCACGACCACATGGTGCGCGTTACGCGCCACCCCGTGTATTTACGATTCGACCGATAACCAAGCTGGTGACGCGTGTTTTTTAAGGGCTGCGGGGGTCGACCCTTCCCGCGAAATCAACCGATTCTCCTCCGTTTCGTTCGCAGCGACGTCTTCGTTCTGCGATGTTTCGAACTTCGATGCCGCGTCGGAGGAGGACTCCGGCGTTCGTAATTCGATGATAATTCTTGTATCGACGCGGTCGGGTCGCCGCGGCGACAAAGTAAAAAATGCGAAACGAGGGGAAGTTTCGCAGGTGTCGCGTTACATCATTGTGCCCGGAGCACCCCAACACCAGCCTGGATACGCGCCGCTCTGCGAGGAGACGCGTCGCGTCGCGACGGGACGGCACGCCTCGCGTAATCAACCCTCGAAAATTCGCCCTCCCTCGGCGAGTATCGCCGTTCCCCATCTCTGTCGAGAGACGCTTTCCGAACGATATGATTTGTCCACACCGCAACCGAGATTTATTTAATTAGGCGCTGCACCCTCGGTTCAAGCGTTCCTCGCTAATTCTCGCGAACGATGAGACGGCGGGATGCGGAAAAGTGCTTCCATGGACAAATTTGTTGTTATTATTCTTGTCAACCCTTTGCGCTCGGGAGGTAACTCTCGCCGACCACTTAGTTTGATATAACAAAATTATGAAACCTTCTATATAATATTATATTTCGTATAATGCGTCGATACGTGAAAATTTGAAGAGAATAGCTCTGTTAATAATTTATGTGTTCTCATTATTTAGTTTCAAAGAATGTTGTCTGTGTCACCAGAAAAATGTTGAACACGTTTAGTGACAATCTTTCGAGCGCAGAGGGTTGACAAATCATTGGAAACGATTTCCGCGATACCGGAAACGCCGGAGTAAACGAGAACTCACGCGACTTTCGGCGTACAGTATCGATTAAGAATCCACTGGTTGGACAGGAAAAGATGACGCGATCGAAAGGCTGTTATGCGACGATTCTTTCGCGCTGACCGTGCAGACGGCCCAAGGCCGTGTCGTACCTTTGTCGGCTTATCGCGACCAACTTAGCCAGACTACTTGCTACGCTGTGGGAATCGAGCAATTATCGCATCACACCTCTCGGAATTGTATTTATAACAGCTCCAGGAAGCGACTCCCCATCGGGTCCACGTGCACCGTCGATTAGAACGCGGAACGTGCTCGAATAAGTTGTTCGGGACGGACCGACGGCCGATCGTACGCGTCTAAATACCAGTTTCTTCTTACGTTTCGCGATGCAAAACCGTCGAAAGTGTTTGTGTTTCGAGCGTATCGTTGTCGGTATCCGTTAATCTCTGTGTCGCCGGTTTCCTCGGGTTCCCTTCGCTAAGTTTACGCAAAACTTCCGAAGCCTACGAGCCCGCTCGACCGCAGACGCTCGGGAATCAAGAGCTTGTCAAAATATCGCTGCGGTTCGTACCCGGGAAGGTGCAAAATCCAGGTAGTCGGGGCCATCTTTTGTCGGAACTAAATGGATTCCCGTGGCGAGACCGGCGGACTCGGCCGAAAAGGTGCGAAGCACGCTTTAAAGAGGGAACTCGAAGCCTGTCCGACCATTAAAAGCACATTTCGCGTCACGGAGCGCGCACGTCCCCGTGCCTATTCAACGCCACTTTCTCGATCGATTAAACGTTTTGGCCCGCGAGCCGGTGTTTCGGTCCTCGCGTCTTCGAGAACGGGCGCGAGAGCGTCATGCCCGGAGATTAGAGGCGGCAATTTGTTAGGCAAACCCTCGCGGCGATGTCACGCGCGACATAACTTATCGCCGGACAGCGATGCAAGCGATACAGAGAATAGTCGTATATAACGAAGGTTACGGTGTTACCGGTGGATGGTGGGGTGGCACGGTGTCCAGTGACTCCCATGTCGGCTTGTTATCCGGACCGCCCCATCGTTATCTGCAATTACCCGAAAACAGCCCCTAGTTTATAAATTATAGACCACCCCGTCTCCATCCCCATTCTCACCTCCATCTCCGATCCCATCCCCGACCCCATCCCCGTTCCCATTCTCCGCTCCCCCTTCCGTCGTTCCTCGTCCGCCCGTGCCTTCCACCTCTCGCCTCCAGCTTCCGCCGGGATTACATCTGTCATCAAACGCAGCCAATTACGTTCAATTATCTTGCTAACCACCCCTTCGCCGATGATGACCCGTATCTAGCGATGCCATCGTAGCCTCCGCCGCTTGCCCCCGTCGACGTTGACGTATGTAGTTGTTTGTCGCGGTCGTTGCGTCCACGAGGAGGCGACGGATTCGCGGAAAATGAAGGAAAACGGGGTATCGGTAATTACACGAGATCGGGTGGGAGAGACAGGAGGGGGATGCTTTTCCCGCGGTTCCGAGCGCATCGATTTTACGCTCGCGATTATAGACGGACACGGAAGCCAGCCTCGTAAGATCCGAGATTACGGCGCGTAATCCTCGGTTAGGAGCGATTTCCTCGACTGCTCGTACTACCCACAGTCGGAGGGTCGACGAGATGCACGTCGGGGACAATGCGATCGGCCTGTTCGTGCCATTGTCGCGGCGACGTTTCAATGGAAATTGCGACAATGAACTGTTGACAACTGTGCGTCGAGTTGCGTAAAGGGCGGAGGTTCCCTTTTAGTTAGGTTCCCTTCGATGGGTATAAGCCTGCTTGACTGTACTTTTCACGCCCTTTTTCCAGCGGCGCGGTGCCGCGCGGCGCGGTGGTCGTCGAATTATTATGTCGCGTGACCACCCTTCTCTTATATCGCAAACACGCATCTGCTATCGTAAATATTAATGTCCGTGCCAATTTCAAAGGATCGTCGATGTCTCGGGGATTCGCGGCGCGATTGAAAGCGTCACGCCGACGCTGAAGAAGTTGGGGGGGGATGAACGGTTGCGGTGAAAAACAAACTTGTATAACAGCCTTTATTTGATCGATATGCTACAATCTTAATAGACTCTTATTACGTACCATCCTGTGGCCGTGTTCCGCAAATACGTGAGTAGTCCGCCTTCTGTTTCTCGCGTGACGCGACTCGACGCGTTAAAATAAGTATTACGATACTTAACATTGCAGAAATAGGACAAGCGATATGATTCGTAATTCGTCGCGTTCTCTCGTAACTCGACTCGATTGGACTGGTCGTGTTCCAACGGAACTGTCGGGGGCTTCGCACGGTTTCCTCGCCGGGCCACGCGGCTTTTCCTCCGCGCCGTTCCAAACGGAAAACCGAGGCGATTCTCTCATCGCGACGACCGCGGCGCGGCAAGGAATCCTGCAACCTCTCGATCGACTACCTCCTAACCGTTGATAATATTTATGTATAATAAGATTGGCATTAGCACAAAAATACATCTTCGTAATTACATGTAGACCATCTCCGTGATAAGATCGGAGTACCTATTGTAAATAACTTTCTCGTAGCATAAAAATTTAAACGTAGAAATGTCTTGCAACCGATCGCGGAGACCCACGGTCCGTGGCGTGCACGCTCTCCCTTTCCCTCCCTTTCTCTCGTATTCTCTATATCGTTACATTTTTCTCTCTTTTTTCACACTTTTTCTCTATCTCTCGTCCGTCCGTTCTGGAATTCATCGAATCGCGCGAATAGGGAAAGACATTCCTCCGTTCTGCCAACGCAGATTCGCGAATCGACGATCCTAACAACGTTGACTTCGTCACAGAAATATGATACGCGATACTCATAATATACATATATATGTATATATACGTATATGTATGTAAGTATTTATATATTTACACACGAAGTTTCAACTTTAATATGCGCTTGGAAGACAGAGGTTCATATATCGATAATTGTATTAAATTTATACGTGTCGCAAACACACATACAGGTTCCTCGTAAGTATGCAATTGCTCCGTAACTATAGCTACGTTCAACGGGATTTTTTTGGAGAATCGTTCGATTTTCATATCTTCCCTCCGCTATTTCTTCCCGCTCTACGAAATCTTTTGCGTACGAAGAGTTTAAGGACCGAGAGGAACGCTTGTCTAAGCCGTTCGTGTTTTCTAAATCGACCCGATCGTCCCAGGAACGAGTTTATACGCTAGTACATCGGTAAAATGGTCTATTCATCGACTAACAATGAATGCACGTTCGTGATATGTTAAAGGATATTGAAAAATTCCGCGCGGTCGTCGAAGTTCGCTCGGCCCGAGGGCCGCCGAGGCCGCTCGAGTCGTTTTGCAGTCGAAAGGAAGCGGGATAACCAAGTGAAATCAATCTATTCGAGCAGACGACGACCGCGCGTTTAATTTCCCCCCGCGGTAGACACCTTCTCGTCGTAAACATGAACGAACGACTAATGGATCGCGAGCTTCGCCGATCGCTGCAACATATTTACACGATATATTACATCCACGATCTGAAGTTGAAAACGAAACGACTTATACTAGGAACCGTAGTACACGTAAACAGGAATTAGATGCAAGACCGCGAAGAACAATCGGCAAATTAGAAAATCATCGTTCCGACTGTCAACGTGCCCGTCGAAACGCAACGGTATTTACGGTGAGTTGGATCGCCAACGTGCGTTTAGCGAAAAATAGAATACGCTGAACGCGTGGAAAATGTGTAAGTAGAAGCAGTTATTCCGATGCAGTTCAGAACGGGGATCTTGTTTCGCGGCGCCGTAAAAATGGAAGCAGTTCGAGGGAAATCGCTACAAGTAAATAAACTTCGATGATAACAATAATGACGATGACGACAGTGATAATAAGAAAGATAAACGATAATGATAATAATAGTAAGAATAAGAATAGTAATAATAATACTAGTATTATGTACACGTCGACACTCGAAAAATCGCGGATCCGATCGTTACGGTCGCGTTCGGCAAGGAAACGGAATTCGCGAAGTCGCGATAAAGATCGATCGACTAACTTCCAACTCGTTCCTCGAAAACTGTTAGCTGCCTGACAGGGCTTCGTTCTCCTATCGGTGACTCGAGGACAACCGATTTCCCGCGTTCGCTTTAGATCGACGGGAATTATGCGAATCCGCCGGAGTCCGGCTCCGCGCGTTCGATAATCGAGATGATATATATTCGTGCGATGCGGACGATCCCGGCACCGATCGTTCCGGCGATAAAGAAAGAAAAAAACGAACGATCGGTTCCGTTATCCTCGGCGTTGATTTACATTCGCGCGGCTTGATCGTCGATCATCTTGTAAACCTCCTGGACACCTTCCTTACTCCATGGTGTCGTACTTGACCTTTTTGACTTTGAAGTAACGGAAAGCTGCGTAACCGGTGATGGTCAGCAGAACAGCGGCGGCCAACGTCGAGCCGACAGCGACTGGCGCGGTCTCGTCCCGGAATCCGCGCGCGCTCAGCGCCGTGCAGGAGAACTCGGCCGCGAACTCGTTGTTTTTGAATTTGAACGGTTGCAGCTTCATACCTCTGAAATGTCAGTCGCCGTTGAGAGCCGTTACCGCGTTTTCAACGCGATCGATCGTAGAACGCCGGAAATCTCGTCTCGGTATACCTGAGCAGCACGCTGGCGTGGTTCTTGCCGTCAGTCAGGGGTATTGCCGTCTCGTTATTGCACGCGTACGACTTCCCGATCGGCGTGGGGAACAACATGGGGCTGTGTTTCTGCGCGGTGCTCAACCGGATGGTCTTGCCTTGAAGAGGAACAGGAATTGAAATCAATCGAACGTCGCGGCGTAAGTGGAGCAACCGTTCTCGTCCGAGGAGGCTCGATGCAACTTACCCGGCTGATCGATGTGCTCGAAGTGTCGGTCGCTCGAATTATAGGTCAGCTCAATTTTCTCGACGTACCACCGTTCTCCGCCCGGCGTCTAAAACATTCATAATTCACCCTTCGATCGACGTATCGTAATCGTGACACCGTTAGAGAACACCGAGCGCAGCAGAATCGTCGTTGAAACGCTCGCCGCGCGAAAGCCGCGATGGAACTGGAAAGATAGGGGATCGGGGGGAAGGAGCGGGAGGGTGAGGTGTCGTTTTTCATTGGAAACAATTGGACCGTTTCGCTTGCAGCTCGAACGCGGCGGAGCAGCCCCCGCGACCTCGAGGCTGCGCCGGCGAAGACGGCTAGTATCGATGTTCCCGCCAGTAAAACGCAGCTAGAAACGATTACCTTTGCGAAGCTCCACGAAAGCAGGAACGCGTTCCACTTCAAAGACATCGTAACCGTGTTCTCGTCGTTGCAGTTCCCGGTCACCGTGGCATCGTTCGGTACATAAATGTTCGCTTCCTGCGGGAACGTATTGCGTTCGCGTTAATTTCGCAGGAGCACGCGCCCCTTCGCCGTTCGTGTTTCACGGTCGATACCGTGACATACCTGATCCTCTCCCAGCTTTGTGCGATATTTCACCGTGATCAAAGCGTCCACTTGTAGAAGAATGCAAGCTTGCCCGTTGCTGCCGTCTAAACGGTACAGAGGCTGGTCCGTGGAAAATGATTTGTGCGTTGTCGTTGACTCCAACAGCATCGTCGTCGTGGTTCTCTCAGAGTTCAGAATTTCGTTCCCGCTGAAATCTCCCTTAAAAAAGGAAACCGTTTATCTTGCTCGTAGAGCTGCTTATCGGAATGTTCGGAGAAGAATTATATAGCACGCTTTTAGCTATAGGAAAGCGCTGTTCGATTCTACAAGAGAACGATCTAAAAGCAACAGGCAACCTTTACTGGAAACGTCAGATCTATACGTGCTGTCAACCTCCACGTCAAGTTAAAAAAAGCACGTCCGCGAGTCCGATTAAAGCGACTATTCCGCGTGCACGCTGCATCGTGATCATTACAACTTCCAACGCGTGTATCGATCGCGAGAGGTTCACCGACGAGCTCCAGCCGTGGACTTCCGCGACGATTAAATATTTATCAGCCTCGATCCGTAATTTCCATTTGAACCGTCTATAAACGCCGCCCGCCGCGCGGTTATTTTTTCCGTGTTTATATTTAAAGGAAGAGTATTCTTACCACAGGCTGCTTCGACTTGGAAACAGGTAGGTCGATTCGCACTTTCGGCGTCCTGCGTGTCGTGTACAGTTGCTCGTCTAACTTTTGCGGCAACGACGAAGTGCTGGGGACGCTGATCGCTGTGCTCGAGACACACCCTGTGGAAAGGTCATTCGTTAGACGATAGGGTACACTGTTTCCGGTGCACGCGACGCTTTCCCGGCGCGATGCGTGCATTCGGCGACGGTTATTTTCGCGAGCTCTTTCTTCACGTTCCTTGAACCGGAAGCATTCGCGAGGTGGTTCACTCTTTCGACGGGATTTCGGGGGTGGACGGTCGGCCTAGCCCGAGGAATATCGGGAGAACGGCGTTCGTTATCTTTCTCCAAGTCCAAACACACATCACGCGATCGCCCAGTCACGCGACAGTATTTTCTTTGAACTGGCGATACGGATTAATTAACCAAATGTAATTCTCACACGCCATCCGTGAGATTAAAAACGGGAAATTGAAACCGTGCACGGTGTCGCTCGGCGACGACGAAAGTCGCGGTCGTTACAATTGACGAGTATACAAGTATATTATCAAGTCGAAGTCTCCAATTATCGAAATCTCCAAATATAGAAATTTATTCAGTGCCGTCGAGGAAAGTGATCTCGACTTGTTCAGCAAGTGTGACCGTTACTTCGATTACAAGGCGACAATGGAACAGCGATTATCACGCGTTTTCGATTCGTACGTTGCGTCACAATGGAACCGCAGGACGTCAGTGACGGACTAATAAAAAACGCGTTCTCGGAAGTCGCGAAAGGACAAGCCGTCGAAGTACTCACATAATACAAGGATGGCCTTGCTATAATCCATACGACGCGTCATCGTTTCCTCCTCCTGCTGTGTCTCGCGACTCGCTGCTAAAAATCACGAAAGTCTACGGAGAATTAAAAAATATGTCTCGTTGCGGCAGCTGCACGCAACACTGTTTTATCTAGACGACGTTCGCGAAACTTGTGAAGCGAGCGAGGAAGCTCGGGCGCAGGTGGATCGATAGTGGAAGCTTTCAGCATGCGCTGCGATGCCTTCCTATGTCTGTGTACACGCGTACAGAGAAAATCACTGGAAAGCTCGTTCGGTCGTTCGGCGCTTCCCTTCGGTGTAGCGTCGGCGTCGGTGACGTCGACTATCGGCGTCGGCGTCGGCGTCGGCGTCTTGCTCGGTATCGGCGTTGGCGTTGGCGTTGCCATTACTTTTCATTCACCTCGTATGCCCCCTAACTCCGCTGCAAGTATTTCAGATCCAACCTAGCCAACGATTTCCCCACCCAAATCGGACCCATAGCTTACGACGACTGAAACGGCGGTATCGTCTACTAATATTGACACGTTTCGTTCAATAATTTATCGTTATGTATTCTCTTAAATTCGGGAATAATCAGTTTTTCGTTGAGTATGTTCATCCATGTGATGCAAAACTAAGTCTTGAACTTGAATGAACAGTTCTGCGATCGGGGACGGTTGCGTAGCGAGATCACCTCCCTCGGAAGGAAGTAGATGAAGGGCACCGAGAATTGTGTCCGAGGACAGATTTGGCGCACTAAAGCATCGCGTGGGCGATACGTTACATGGGTAAAGTTCAAATAGTCATTATTAGAATTGGTCGGTGAAGTTGGACGAAGTGAAGGGCGGGGCGAAGATGTAACGAAGTGAATCGCTGGTGAAGTTGATGGTCTCATTTCACAGTTTATTTGATTCCACTCCTTATTACGCCTACGACAAATAAAAATGTATCTTTACTAAAGGAACAAACATTTGAAGAATAGCAAAGTAACGACAAAGTTAACGTGTAATATTGCACGAAAGATGTAAGAGCATAAAATAATAGATAAAATAATGAAAAGAAAATAATTAGTACATGAACAAGGTACTCTATGCTTTCGTATAACATTTTATCTGGTACGGTTACAAAAAGAAAACCATAATGTGAATATAAGAACAACAAGAAATAAGCTTTTATCCGATGAAACTTTTTCTTTGCTCTCCTTCAGCATGGTCCTTGATCCAGTAAGAAAACAGATTACGTAAATTTCAAAAGCTACTACACGTTTCAGGTAGATGGCGTATAGTGATCGAATACTAATACACGATTCTGAATTACCGACAATGTCTTCTCGGTGCACTAGTGGACTCTACCTCAATGTAGAGTGCTCAAGGGTATTTTCACACAACTTAATGTATGTACAGACATTGTAGCTTATGAGAAACAGTCTCAGGCTTCGTTGGCTCAGAACTCTCGTATCATTTCGGTGTCGTGCTCGACGTTACCGATAATACAAGATTTTAGTCTCATTACTTATATATCTTATTTTCGCTACGAGTGTATTATATGGTAATAATCGAAACGGTATGGGGGCCCTGAGGCTCTCAGCTTATGGACTCTCGAAGCTATAGACAAAAATTCCCATTATATGTAACGTGTATTATTAAGCCACCAATAGATAGCGCGTTTGTGCCGGTCGAGACCGTAACCTATGTAAACAGAAATAAAACAACGGATTTTAAAGTTTTACCACAAATAAGTGTAAAACTGTAACAGGAACGTAAAAACTGTAACGTCGACTCAGTTTTCTAGTGACGAAAGGAATTCATATAAATTCATAACGTCACTTCTAAGTGGAAGGCTATGTTGGCTCTCAGAGTAAGCGACCAGAAGATAATTAAAATCGAGCGAATTGGCTAGTGAGACAAGAATTTTTATTGGATATCGTGTACCCCTATTTTTTAAGATACCTCGATCAAACTGTGTAAAATTCTTACTTTTAACGTGCGACCATTTTTTGAAAGATACTGCTGTTTATTTCAGTCCTACATACAGTTGTCCAAAGTAATGGTGATTCGTACAATAATCTTTGTACACTTGCAAACTATTTATGTAAAATGACTTCTGACTTGCGATTATTCAGTTTAGTTGTTCAAAACCTCCCATATCATTAGTATAATTTTGGAAATTGTTGGTAGTTTCATATGATAATATCTTGATAGACGAGCAGAAACGGAATTTTTGCCATACTGAAATTAAAGTGTGCACCACCTAGTGCGAAATTGGCGAATTAAGATTGCCCTAAGAGACCTCTTAAAAGATGTTTTCGTATTACAATTGTGTTAACAGTTCCGTTTGAGTGAACCTAGATTTGTTTGTAATTTGTAGGCAACGGTTGCCGATCGAATTCCGGTTTCTGTTGTACTGACACCGATCGTTCAAAGTTCGTTATTGGGAAGGAACATTACCAGTAGCTCCAATTCCAAGGCGAAGATGTCATTTGAAATTGAAAAACGTAAGGCACACGATTATTTTCATAGCATTTTGGTGGTTATGTATACGCCGATTGTTTCGATCTAACAACGCATAATGTTATCAAGACCGAATGTTGCGTAGAAAATAACACGGAATATTTATCATCACTATATTCTTTTGAATAGAGAAATTCTTGACCATGCCATCTCAAGAGAAAAGGAAATTGTACAAAGGAAACGTTACCACGTTGGATCAGATTCCGACCTTGCACGATTATTTAAATGAGAACAAAGCGAAACTCACTGACAAGACAAACAAGGTGAAAAAAATCGATGAACTAGCCAAAAAAGTATCCATATGGAGTGGTGACATTACTTCCCTAGAGATAGATGCTATCGTGAATGCAGCAAATTCGAGTCTTCTTGGTGGTGGTGGGGGTATGCTGATTTATTTATTAGAAACAGTCGCGACAATAGCGTTAATTTGATGAATTAACTGTATACAATATTCTCCAGTCGATGGAGCTATCCACAGGGCAGCTGGAGCAAATTTAAAACGAGAGTGTGCTACTTTAGGAGGCTGTAGAGTTGGAGAAGCTAAGATAACTGGGGGCTACATGTTGCCTGCTAAATGTTAGTACGCACAACAAGATATAACAAGCAGCTCTTTCATAGACGTAATCTTTTAGACGTCATTCATACCGTTGGTCCGCAAGGATCAGGTGAAGAAAAGTTGAGGGAATGTTATCAAAATAGTCTTGCCATAGCCAAAGAAAATGGACTACGTACAATAGCTTTCCCTTGCATATCAACAGGAATATACGGGTACCCTCAAGGACCAGCTGCAAAAACTGCTATGACCACAGTTAAAGACTTTCTGGTTAAAAACAACGAAGCGGTAAGATTCTATTCATGTAAAATTAGCTTCAACGAAACCTGCTAGAATATAGAAAAATATTTTCTACTTACAGATGGACAGAGTCATCTTTTGTACGTTCCTGAAAACCGACAAAGATCTGTACGAAGACTTGTCGTCGATGTATTTAACTACTGAATAAATATGTAATGGAAGAGGTTTCTCACGATTATGCAAATGGAATATAGAGTGAATACTAAAAAATTGTATGAGAGCGTGTGTGAAATAATATTCTTGAAACTATCAACGTAGATATTATTTTCCCAACATTATCCTTTTTAAAATATATCGGGAACCATGGGACGACTAGCATGGGTATTATACGATATCGGCGCGTATCGAAAATTCAAAAATTCCCGGGTAAACACGTTGCTCATAGTCGGGTAACCAGCGATTGGCGCGACGGCAGCGCTAGAACTTGACGATTCGTCCGCATCGTGCTTCGGCTCGACGACGGCGCGTCGCCATCTTGAAAAATCGAAGTGTGGTAATGTCTGTATGTGGTAATAGGTGGGGGACAGTCGTTAATGTGGTGCGTCTCGTACGGAAAATCTGTCACAAATGGGTAAATATCTTTTGCATTGAAGTCGCTCGTTTCGAGGGTCAGCCGGTTTCGTGGTTATCGCGTTGTTCGGAACGGGAGAACGCTGGTAAAAGAAGCACACCCATAGCTGGGTATTGGTACTCTCGCCGATCTGTCGTGGCGAAGGTGCGCTCTCTCGAGCGAGATCGCGGCTAGTGAACAGTGCGTGCGTCCGAATGAGAGTACAGTGCCGATTCCGTGGCCATTTCGGATGATTTCTACGGTGGTCGTCGGTGGCCGTGATTTCGAATTAACCTTTTAACTGCGTGTATCTCAACGTTGTTGCATCTTTGAACGTCGCGAGAGCGAAGTGTGTGCGTGCCTGCCTGCCTGCCTGCCTGCTTGCCTGCCTGC